GTGGCTCTCAACAATAAGTGACTCTCCAGTTAAGTGTGAATTATTTGGCTCTTGTGCCATTAGGATCTGCCCAAGTGAACTGAGATGACTTAAAACTCTGAGCAGTGATGTTTGCTTTCATATCGGAGGGGAAATTGTTGCAACTTCTATTTTTTTCTCTTACACAGAATTCTACAGACTTTATGTCGGAAACTTAGGCTCCCTGAATCTTTTGATTTTCATTATTTAGCCCATATGACTCCAGGCTATGTAGGTGCTGATTTGATGGCACTTTGTCGTGAAGCAGCTATGTGTACAGTAAACAGGGTCCTGATAAAGTTGGAGGAGCAGAAATGGAAAGGTGTGCAGGCTGGAGAAGCAAGGACTGAGCAAAACTTGAAGACTGGAACAGAAGCACTGGTGGAACAGGATACTAAACATTCAGAGCTTCCTGCTAAGGTATTAATCCATTGTTACACTCATTTCACAATTCCTTAAAGACTAACCAGTTTGTTTGTGAGCTTCCCACTCAGTCTCACTAAACATTTCTGACCACAGCAATATTCATTTCTAAATGAATGTAATTTTTATGGTTATGTAGCATTCTTCATCCATCTGGTTCATAAAGAACTTTTCCTAATTGACAGTACAAACTGTATGAGTATTATGACACCAAAACTTTATGGTTCTTATAACTTTTTTGCATGCACCTGGGGGCTAAAACTATGGGTCTGGTTCTCCTAAGCTGATATCACTCACTGGTGTTTGATCTCCTCTACTGTATGGCACCATTGCCTATTTTGGGGAAGCAACATTTTAAAAAGGTAGAAGTTTGGTCTACAACATGGCATAATGCTGAAAAAGTCATTTGTGCATGAGTAGCAGGACTGGGGCTCTGTTGCAAGCCAGAGTGTTTGCAGGCAGCTTGATGTCAGAATATTTTGATGTCTCAAGATGAAACAGTGTGGCCATTGAATGTGAGCACCACCCATGTGCTGTGAATTTAAGTACTGCCTTTGGAAGCTTCCTGAAAATGTGTTGTGCACATTAGTTGTTCTCTGCCTGCATTCTGCAAGGACTGCTTCTGGTTTAAGAGCTGATATTTCAGAATACTCTAAACTCCACATGCATACTCGGATTCTACTTATAGAAGTATTGTCCAGGAAAATAGTTTTAATTTAAGTAGAGGGCAGCTGCATTAGGGTAATGTAATCATGACTCTTGCTCCTCACACGTTTCCTGAACACTAGGAGTGAATGATTTCTTTTATTTATTTTTTAAAGCAAATAGCTGCAACTCTCATGTCAGCATGATCAAAGAGGTTCCTGATCATTGGGAAACACTCATAAGAGGTCCGTATGTTGAGGACTGGTGTAAGATCAATATTAATGACAGTATCCTAGGACCACAGACAGTCAACAGTAACATATGCTTATTATAAAAATAAACACAAAAAAACCTTTCTACAGCAATTCATCCAATCTACAAAAACTAAGCATTCACACCTGTTGAGTTTCACCCCTCAAAGTGATGTTGTTTTATGGGAGGGACGGGAAAGGTTCCGAAGGAAATGTTGGACACTAGAAAAATTTTAATCACATGGCCATTTTTGGAACAGTCAAGTAAACCTCACCCGACATTTCCCCTCCACGAACTGCTATGGGAAAATCAAGCAAGCAAAAGACAGAATTTTGTAGACCTTTTGTACCTCTATTCAAATGGAAAACCTGGAGCTACCATCCCACCTTAACATTACCATGCCATATTAGGACCAGAGGTAGAGTTAATGGTGGAAGGTGGAGTTATTTGGTCAAGGAATTCTCTGATACAAGCCTCTCAGTAAGGAGCTGACTTTAATAATCAGTGCTTTAAACTCCAAATGTCTTCCAGCTGAAGACCTGCATAGTATTCATCCTGTCTCTTCAGAGTCTGTCTGGATCGCAGTTTGTCAGATGGGGCAGTGTTAAACAATGCAAGATGCTCTCTGTCATTTACCACCACTGTACCCAGAGCCTGAAGATCAAACACAGATCTGGTCAGCTTGGGAGAACGAGAGGGTGACTGGAAACTGCATATAGCAATTGCACAGCATTAACCACTAAACCACAGAACCTAAAAATACATGCAGTGATGCATAGTAATGTACTGAAAGCTTGTTACAAATGAGCACTGACATTTAAGGGCTACATACAACTGAATGTAAATGCATGGCTGAAATTCCCAGTGCTGCTACGCAGAACCAATAATTTGTTCTCTGTTATGAGCAATGACCTTTTTAAATAAACAGAATTAGTTAATTTAGTCAGATTGGTTGGCAGTCCCAACAGAAGAGATCAAGAACTGCATGTGCAGCATGGAGAGAACTCTCCGGAGCAGTGTGGGAGGAAGTTTGCATTACCACTGCCCATGTTGGCCTTGTTTTGTGGATGTGTGTGTGTGTGTGTATATATAGGACAGGGGTTGGCAATCTTTCATAAGTGGTGTGCCGAGTCTTCATTTATTCACTCTAATTTAAGGTTTCGTGTGCCAGTAATACATTTTAACATCTTTAGAAGATCTCTTTCTATAAGTCTATAATATATAACTAAACTATTGTTGTATGTAAAGTAAATAAGGTTTTTAAAATGTTTAAGAAGCTTCATTTCAAATTAAATTAAAATGCAGAGCCCCCTGGACCGGTGGCCAGGACCCGGGCAGTGTGAGTGCCACTGAAAAACAGCTCGCGTGCTGCCTTCGGCACGCGTGCCATAGGTTGCCTACCCCTGATGTAAGATTTAAACTAAGACTCCAGGGTAGTCAGTCTGTTATCTTTCTCCACTGTTAAATTCACACGCACTGTGTCGTGAATGTTACCAAATTGGACTCTGACAGGCTTTGGCTGTAGAGGAAACTCTGAGAAAAATGGTATTTGTTCTTAAAATCTTGTCCATTGTCTCTTCTTCCCACTGCCTTCTCCTTCAGGATGAATTGCAGAGGCTGCTAGAGTTGCTAAAGGAACAAGATCCCCTGCTGGAGGAGCAGCTGCAGAAGCTCTGCATCGAAATGAATGATTTCATTGTTGCACTGTCTTCGGTGCAGCCCTCCGCCAAGAGAGAAGGCTTTGTCACTGTCCCTGATGTGACGTGGGCGGATGTTGGAGCCCTGGAGGACATTCGGGAGGAGCTCACTATGGCAATACTGGTAGGCATGAATGCTGTTTAAAGTCCTGTTAGGCAATGCCAGGCTAAGATATCTAGCCGGAGTCAAACTTACATGATGTTTTCTTTGGGCATATACACAAGGTCTTAGGTGTACCACAGCAAACTGGTCCTAAATTCTATGGCAAGGTCCTAGGATTCTGCAGCACGCTGGTGCAGCAAACTGTAAATTCTGCTGCACTTTCATTTAAGATTACAGCATTCAGATGTCTAACTAATATGAAAATGAATCATAATACAGTCAAACGGTCTGTTTTTTTTCTGAGATTTAACTTATTTTACACTGTCCCCACGCTTTGAGTTTTCGGTGTGTTGTGAATTTTTGAAGTGATGGATAACTGCATCTGAAGTGTCATGGAAGTTTTGGCAGCTGTGTTGGAGTAACTGGGGATTTGGTACCTAGGAGGAATGGGAGGCAGTTTGGTGTTGTGGGATAAGCACATCAACTGGATACTTCTGCTATGAATATGTGCAACTTCCCTCATGTGGCATGGCATGTGACCAGGATTCATGACCGAATTTGGTCTGCTGGTTGGATCATTAGCTTCCCTGGCTTGGGCTGGATACTGACAGGGAGTGTGACATGAACGCTGATCCATGCCCCCCAGTGAAATAGTTAATGATGTTGCCATTTAACGGTGAAACAAAAAGGTGACAACACCTGATTGAGGTGAATAAAGGAGATTGCACCTCTCTAAGCTATCATTTTAAAATATCTGTAAACTCAAGAGGATAATTGCGTTGATTTACACACTCTCTTAACATTTTCAAATTTTATCTTCATGATATGGGCTAGGAAAATATTTTACTTTTTTAAAGGAAAGCCTACATTCTAGAACAGGGATTGGCAACCTTTGGCATGAGGCCCGCCAGGGTAAGCACCCTGGCGGACCGGGCCGGTTTGTTTACCTGCTACATCTGCAGGTTTGGCCGATTGTGGCTCCCACTGGCCGCGGTTCGCCGCTCCAGGCCACTTGGGCTGCGTGAAGCGGCGTGGGCCAAGGGATGTGCTGGCCGTTGCTTCCCGCCGCCCCCCATTGGCCTGGAGTGGCGAACTGCGGCCAGTGGGAGCCACGATCGGCCGAACCTGCGGATGCGGCAGGTAAACAAACCGGCCCAGCCCGCCAGGGTGCTTACCCTGGCGGGCCGCATGCCAAAGGTTGTCGATCCCTGTTCTAGAGCATAGTTCTGTTGCAAGGGATAGATTCTACTGCCAGTTCCATAGCCACGGTTCATGAGGCCCTCTACATGTATCTAGAATGTATTAGTGCATAATATTGTCCATGGTTCTGTATGTCTTTATTAAGATCCTGATACCCAATTCTGTGAGGCCTTGTTTCTAGTGTTCTGAAAACTCTGCTTTGTCGTATCTGATGTTTACTGCTGGTAAAATATTCACAATTTTGTGAATGAACATATACAGCTAACTTTCTCTGTTTGATCTAATTGATCTTTGTTAGTGATGAAACATTTATGAGGAAATTTATTTTATGGTTTTGAACTGTTAAATCTTAGACCCACATTCACTCTTTCTGACAATTTGCTAAACTTTATTTTATAACTTGTAAAATAATTGTGCATGCATTTCTCACTGCAATTTCCTCTTCCTCAACAGGCCTTTACATAAACTGGGTATGGCTTAAGTAATAGGCTTTTATTAAAACTGTTTGAGTCAATGTCTAAATTATGCACAAAATAGTCATTTGCTTCCGCAAGCCAGTACCTACTCACCTATTTTTCATCTCCAAATATGCCCATATTTTTGCTTGTTCAGTTTTGGTGCAGAGTCATGCACCTTTTGCTTTAGCTCTAGTTTGTAGTTAGATGAAAATTCAGACCAGCTATATCTGTCACTGAGAACTGTTTGGGTTTTTTATAGGCACCTGTGCGGAATCCAGAGCAATTCAAAGCTCTTGGCCTGACAGCTCCTGCTGGTGTTCTACTTGCAGGGCCTCCTGGGTGTGGCAAAACACTACTGGCAAAGGTAGGAGTTTGGTCATTCACACCCTGCATATGCCTACTGGGAGGTGGGAGAGCACCAAAATTAGACTAGCGAGTCCTAGAAAGGAAGTAGGAAAAGCCTATTACTTAAGAAGTTTTTGTAAGAATGACCAGTTGGCTTCTAACGGAAAATAACTGGGTCCAGGCATATAATAGGAGTTGAGCTCTTGCACTTACCTCGTCAGGAGTTGGAGTACAAGATTTTCTTTGGAAGTTATTCGTTTTCTTAGTAAAATAATTACAGTTTAACTTGAATGGGAAAAAAAACAAGACAAAGATTAAATTATAAAAATAAAATAGTAAAGAGCGGAAAGAAAATGGTTCATTTATGAGACGCCCATCACTGGAATTTTTCACTGTGGAGGGTGTGATCAGACCTGGTCGCCTGTGCTCTCTTTTTTTCTTTACCATATACCTTCTCTTGCAAATGCTTTTGCGTTCCTGCTGGAGCATTATATTTCTTATGGCCTTTCTCCCTTTCCAACACCCAAAGTTTTCAGACCAGTTATTGTCTTTGAACATCGAGCGCTGTTTATGGGGTGAAATTTCTGTGTAGCTCTCATCAGTCAATGAGAATTGTGCAGCCAATGCCTTAAAAATAGAGCTGGGCACAATTTTTCTGACAAAGGCTTTTTTGCCAAAAAATTTAAATTGGAGTTGACTGAAACATTTTGTGAATTTGTATTGAATTTCCTAAAGTGCTTCAGCCCCCCCCAAAAGATCTGAAAAGACTGAAATAACTTTTCTTTTTGAATTTTACTTCAATTTTATTTTTAAAAAAGGTTTAAAACCTCAGAAACAAAATGTTTTGATTGACCCCAAAATGATTTTTTTTCTTTTTCAGTTCTCCAAATTTTTTTTTTAAAACCCTTCTGTTTTCAATCAACCCAAAACTAATTGTTTGTTTTTTAGGGAGTGGGTAAAGGGATCGTATATCTCCTAAAGAGCTTTGTATATTTTGACAAACGCTTGACAGATCTCCTTTTCCTTGATGTTCTTCCTAGTTCAGCATACAGGATAAAAAATAATATCCCAGCTCAGTGTCAGCATCTGGAATCTTGCCAAAACAGTCAAGGAGAGAAAATGAATCCCATTTCTATTTTTACTATGATGATTCCCCAGAGACTTCAGAAAGTCTCCTGAGGATCAGGAGTGGGAGCTAAATATATTCTGTCTTTCTTTTTGCTAGGCTGTAGCAAATGAGTCTGGACTGAACTTCATCTCTGTGAAAGGTCCTGAACTGTTAAATATGGTAAGTTTTTTGTTCGTGGCACCTTGGCCTCTGCCTTTGACTGAATTCTTGGCTAAAGCCTGGGTCAAGTGAAAATCCTAATCATTAAATAGAAGATAGTTGGCACAACAAAAATTGCATTGTATAACCTCTTCCTCATTCTTATAGCCCATATGGCAGGCAGGTTGTTCTCTAGAGCAGTGGTCTCCAACCTTTTTACGCACAAGATCACTTTTGAATTTAAGTACAACCCAGGATCTACCCTGCCCCGCTCACTCCATCCCCACTCCCTCTGTCACTCCCCACCCTCACTCACTTTCACCTGGTTGGGGTGCGGGCTCTGGGCTGGGGTGGAGGGGTTCGGAGTATGGAAGGGAGCTCCGGGATGAGCCTGGGGCAGGTGGTTGGGGTGCAGCAGGGGGCTCTGGGCTGGAGCAGAGTGTTGGGGTACAGGAGAGGTATGGGGTGCTGGCTCCGGGAGGGAGCTCAAGGCTGGGACAGGGGGTTGGGGTGCAGAAGGGAGTTTGGGGTGCGGGAAGCGGCATGGGGTGCTGGCTCTGGCTCAGGGCTGAGATAAGGGCTCAGGGTGGTGGCTCAGGCCTGAGGGTTGGGATGCAGGAGGGGTGCAGGCTCCTGCTGGACGGCACTTACTTCAGGCGGCTCCCTGTCGGCGGTGCAGCGAGGCTAAAGCAGGCTCCCTGCCTGCCCCGGCTCCACTCCTTGAAGCAGCCAGCAAGCCCCTGGAGGAGGGGGGAGGGCACATGGTTCCGAGCGCTGCCCCTCCCTGCGGGCATTGCCCTCGCAGCTCCCATTGGCCGCAGTTCCCTGTTCCCGGCCAATGGGAGCTGCAGGGGCAGTGCTTGCAGGCAGAAGCAGCGCGTGGAGACCCCTACTCCCCCACCCCCACCCCAGGAGCCTGCCTTAGACCTGCTGCGCTGCTGGACTTTTAGCGGCCGGAGATCACGATCGACTGTCAGGCTCCAGGATCACCCAGTCGATCGTGATCTACCGGCTGGTGACCACTGCTCTAAAAAGAGGAGAGAGGAATTTTGGGTGGCTTAGATCTGTCTCAGCTCAAACGACCTCTCATGGTAAAGAAAATGAGGCCATGGGGGCCTGGTGAAGTAGCAAGTTACTTGCATCTTTTCCAGTATGTAAGTTGGACTAAGGACAAAATTTTCATTCTTAATGAGAGCTGTGGGTCCTCAGCACATCTACAAATCAGGCCACTTACCTAAGCAAGCTAACTACTAAACTAACTTTAGGCAACCAAGTTTGAAAATGTTATCAAAACTCATTCCCATTCTACTTTTAATAGAGGTTTAAACATCAGAAAAGTTGTTAATGTTCAAGATATGTTGCTTAAATGTCATTGCTTTTTATGATCAACGATTAACACTAGTTTGAAGCTTCAGTCTCTCATATTTCTGAGCACTGGGCTTAGAAACACTTACAGTAACTAAATTTTAATATGTGCTACAGTTGATTAAAAGTGAGAAGTGTGTTGAGCACAATGGCTTCAGTCTTAGTTTTTCAAAGCAGAGTTGGAGGAGTGTAGCACTTAACTGCTTATTGGTAGTGGGTGAAGTAGAACTAGAAAGAGTGGATTTGATTGATTGTCCTAGGCTTCCTCAAGTCTGCTGAAAGAGATGCCCTTTGGCCGGGAAGAGAAATCCACCATAGTGGGGATCCCTGTCTCCTTAAGTGCTAAGGCAAACTGTTTTGACTCCTGAACTCTGAGAGTTTTGAAGATAAATGAGTGCAAAGTGTAACAATGGTAAATGAACATGTTTGGAAAAATGAAACATTCCTATTCAGAATTTGAACATTTTTTGTGTGTGTGTGCAAATAATGACGGTTTTTGAGTGAACCTCTCACTTCTATTTCAATTGTTCCTTTCTGTAGTCATATAATTACAGTATGAACTACAGATGAAGCAAATCTGTGGATGACTTTGATAACTAAAATGATCTGACCAGCTGAAGATCCATGAAGGTTCTAGTGAAGAATTTAACTAATAATTCTTAGTCAAAACACCGCAGATATAATTTTTTTTTAAAAGGGGGAGATCCTTGCCTGTAACATCTTATCAAATGTGAGCATGTGTGACCGTGAGACATCACAAAGATAACCAGTTCAGATGTAAATTTGTCCCCAATTAAAAAAAATGATGTGGCAGACTTAAATGGAGTGAACTGGCAACCCTCAAATTATGGGTTAAATTGGGGTTGTCAGGCAAAATGTAGATGTCTTACATAGTTTCATTGAGCTTTATGTCTTGCTTATTTCAGTATGTTGGTGAAAGTGAGCGTGCTGTACGTCAGGTATTCCAGCGGGCCAGAAATTCAGCCCCTTGTGTTATATTCTTCGATGAAGTTGACGCTTTGTGCCCTCGGAGATCAGACCGTGAGGTGAGTATGAAAACATATCCACAAGTAACGTCACTCAGTTGTGGGTTTCAAAGTGGGGAGTGTGTTGTGTAAATTTAGGGTTACCATACGTCCGTTTTTTCCCGGACATGTCCGGCTTTTCGGCAATCAAACCCCCGTCTGGGGGGAATTGCCAAAAAGCCGAACGTGTCCGGGAAAAATACCGGCCGGGCACTTCCTCTCCCGTGGCTGCTCTGCTCCTCCCCTGACTCAGACTTCGGCTCTGTTTAAGAGGCAAGGGGGCTGCCCGAAGCCGGTAGCGCTGGCTCGGGCAGCTTGGCTCTTAAACAGAGCCGAAGTCTGAGTCCGGGGAGGAGCAGAGCAGCTGGAGCCGGGGAGGGGAAGTGCCCGGCCGGGGGCACAGGGTCCGGAGGCACGGGGGCTGCCTGAAGCCCGAGTGCTACCGGCTTCATGGTTTGCTGGGCAGCCTCCAGACCCTGCGCCCCCGACTGGGCGCTTCCCCTCCCGGGCTCCAGCTGCGCTGGGGAAGCGCCGGCTGGGGGCGCAGGGTCTGGAGGCTGCCCGGCAAACCGTAAAGCCGGTAGCGCTCGGGCAGCCCTTTTCGCGTGGCTGGGAGGGAGGAGGGGGAGTTAGGGCGGGGACTTTGGGGAAGGGGCGGGGAAAGGGCGGAGTTGGGGCGGGGGTGGGGAAAGGGGCGGGGCCAGGGCCCGTGGAGTGTCCTCTTTTTTTATTTTTAAATATGGTAACCCTAGTAAACTTTCAAATACTGTCTCATTGGCCCCTTCCTCAGAGACCATTCAGTAGAGATGCCATGTAAATCTGTTGTCTCC